GTGTAATTTTTATTTAAAAACTTAGATAAGGAATAGTTATGACAGAAATTTCATGTTTATTTCAGTAAAAATTTATACTGGAAAAAAAAAAACTATAACAAAACTGTTAAACCTATAAGTTTCGGTGAATTCCATGACATTAATGCAAAAAAACTTTAAAAACAAAAATACGAGTCTAAATTGCGAAGGCTTTGTTTTCACCTCCTTTTAACCATTTTTTTGCATTGCTAAAAGTCAGATATTTTAATTTGTCACATAGATTTTACACCTCCGTGCACCTTCAATCGTCGGGAGGTCTCTAGTCAGCAGAATGATATTAGTTTATTTTTTAATGTATTCCTGCGTTTCTGTGACTAATATAGGAATGGTTAATTGCTTTACAATCAGAACAAAGACTGACAAAAGAGGTATATAAAATAGAGCTGAAAACTAGAAATATAATAATAACAGTGCAGCATACTCGAAATAGACTAGAACAAATATGTAGGAAGTTTGATAAACACTATGTTTATAAAATACATGTTTTCATTTCCAACGGCATACGACAGCGAACGGAAATCCGACGTTCAATATCAGTTTCAAGGACTGTTTCTTCTTGTCAGCAATTACAAATCAAGATTTTTGACCCTTTCGCTTTGACGTCTAAAAAATCAACTCTCAAAAATTGTTATTAGAATTTTTCCTTCTAACAATTACGCATCCAGTGATAGACCACGTTCAGCCAGCAAATTTTGTGTCAATCGTTGGACTAAAAAAGTGCGAAATTTCACAGTTTTTAACGTTTTTCTGTTGATCACTTCACTGCTTCAGCGACAGAAAACAAATATTAATGCTTATGCTAACATTGAACAACTAGCCACAAGTACATAGTTGATGTCACTTCCACTCACATCTGAACATTTGATTACAACAGTTTTTTATCAGAATTTTATTGTCTTTTTTTTGTTACAAATCATCACCACTTGAAAAGTTGTATCTGACATTGGGTAAGTGATATTCTACATCAAATAACAATAAAACTGAATTGATAAGAAGGAGAAATTCATCAATTTTTTGATATGGTAGTTCCAAAAGTCGCTACTATATTTTATATTTTCTTAAAATGTTACAGAAGTTCATTGTTGCTAACATTCAAAAAATTTACCAGAATTTAAAAAGTTCTTGTGTACTTTTCAATGAATTTACTCGATTATTACTGGTCAGTTTTTGTACTCATACTGTAGCTGTTGTCCGCCAGCTGTAATTAAAAGATTATTAATTTACTATAGGTGTGCTTCAGTAGAACGACTTTTATATTTTTTTTAAAAAGTAGTTAAGCTTTCTCATGTTAAAAAATCTGAAAGATTTCAGAAGTAGAATTACTGTTTGAATAACTTTAGAGGTTAGATTTCTTAAGCATTCTTAAAACCGATCATTCATCTTTCAGCTTTTTGTTTGAAATAATAAATTTCATTTGGTTTTCAAGAGTTGAATTGAAGACAGTAGACCGCAGCTTAATAGCTGTTGCTTACGCAAGTGATCTACTTGACACTTGGAAACTTTACTATGAATGGTAATACAGAGTTAACAAATTGAATAGCCATTACACAATAAAGAGTCTTTAACGAGAAATTTTAACATACATTTGTATAGCTGCATCTGATACTGCAGAAAAGTATGCCAAAACCTTCAATAAAAGTCACTGCAAAATCGTGAAAAGTCGTTTCGCAGTATAATTTTAAAAAAAAGTAATTTTGTTTTCTTTTTTAAAATTTATAAATTAACGCTACTTTATGAAGACAATAAAAATGCATAGTGAAAACAAAATGTACAACATATATTCAGATGAGAACTGACAACGAAGGACACTTTTCAAC